AGTGACCATTTTTCTTCCAAGCCACAAGTACACTTCCAGCGTGGCTTATATCTCCCTCCTCAAACCCAGGGCTGGTGGGAGTTGTGACAGTGACAGTTGAGTTCGTTGCAAAAATACTTTCATTCCTGTACAAATCTAATGGACCTTGTCAACACTCTGCTATTGAGATTATGTTTTCAGTCACTCTTTTCAGATCATTACGTTTCAGAAAGGAGGATTATCTAGGATATTACTAGCTAATGACTAGAGATTAACAAGTTGTTAGAAGCATGCAGTTTTACAGCCAAACTCATGACGCCAAAATTGCAACTTACTTCTGATTGAACCCTTTTAGCACTTAAATGCACCTCTCCATCGATTAGTGAGCAATAATCGAAACAGCAAGGTGTTTTGCTTTACCAACATGTAATATCTAACACTGTCACAGATTTACATGAACATCGTCAGCACAAAATGACCGTTAATTAATTCTGTGGCTTTTAAATATGTACACAACAACTGAACTAATATACAAAAAAGAAAGGATTTAAAGTTGAAAGAGGTGTTTAAAAGGGGAAAGAACTATTAATGAACTGAATTGAATCATGAGTGAACAAGTACCCAATAATGCAGCCAATATCCAAATATTTTATGAAAGACCTTCAAAAAAGTACTGTTGCTTAATACCACTTAAAAAAAATAATGCATATAATTAATCCAAACCTCAAACTCAAAATCCCTTTATAAGCTTTAGTTGACGCACAACCTTAGATGTATCTGCTCCAGTCCTGCATCTGTGAGGTCAGTGTTGGTTCGTTTGTGGATATCCCTCTGCTTCTCGATCTTGTGGTCATCAGACAAGCCATCCACTTTGTGAATGAACACTTCAAAGCTGATATCTGGGTTTACTTTGTAAGCCCTGGTCACTGTGAGATGCAGTCTACTCAGAGCTTCCACATAGTCATCCTGTCATGAAAAAGAGAAATTCCTTTTAGTCTAAGCTCTTACAGACTGTTCATCAAAAAGCAAGAAGTAGACTGAATTTTAACTTGATTTTAAACGCCTTGAACTAAGAATGACACTTCAATCCCAGTAGTAGAAAAAGGCAAGTCCTGTACCAAAATAAAACAAACAGCCCCAATAAACAAGAATTTAGAACACAAAATGTTTTTTACTTACTCAATTTTGCAAAGGTTAAGTATCTAGGAATCTAGGAAAAAAAGCAAGATATACGACTGCCACGGTGGGCTGTGCGTGTACGTGTGCGTGTACGTGTGCGTGTGCGTGTACGTGTGCGTGTACGTGTGCGCACGTGTGCATGCACACACCCCCATTTATAGTCCCCTTCTCCTTTTCTCTCCTACTGATCTCCATGAACTAACTTCAAGCCATCACACAAACATGTCAGTTAAAGCCCATCCACAAAAGTCTGTTAAAAAAAATCACCATTAAAACTTAAGTATTAAAAATGATTTAGGGTTCATCATAGCACAGAAACAGAACTAGTGAAGGTTACTAATGATCAATGTTGTGTCTGAGCGAACACACAAACTCCCTGAGC